ATTACAACAGTTAGCCAAGCAAAAGGTTCTTTCATCCTATGGCCAAAAAATCTGGTGTCAAAGATCGATACATCATCACCAGAGGTAAAGAACAAGTTAATATTATAATTGTTTCTTTGAATTAATTAATAATTACTTAATTATATAACTCTTTAGTTTTATGTTTTAATAGGAACATAAAAATGTTGTTAAATTTCCCTACCTAGCACAATTGCGTGAAATTTATAAAAATATGAAAGAAGGCATTACTGTTAAAATGCCACTAGGGGTCGTGGCTATGAAAAAGGGATATGATTTTGGATTTAACAAGAAAGATCTCAAGGAGTTTCTAAATTTAAAAGAGTTGGATATATCATGGGCTAAATTGGGAATTTTGTAATTTTTCTATCCATTTTCTTCATTTATTTCATTTTATTTTCATATACTACTAAGATTTTGATATCATTTCAATGATAGGTATCTCTACAATATTTGTTCTGCAATAGGAAAACAAAACACATTTGGATTTTTATGCCCTGAAGCTGTGCAGAAATAATCTCACAATGTAGTACATAGGAGGATGACATATGTGATGAATCATATGTCAGATACAAATTGCCATGTTATCAACGTCGATTGTTGATGGGCGAGTATTTTTTATTCTTGCATGTATGTATGTGTATATATATTCGTATTATCTAATGACCATTAAAATTTTTATATATTGTAGTTACCATTGATCACATTGTGTTATTTGCCCAAATCAAAGTGTAGTATATTGGTTTTGTTCTTTGAGCAAAAAACCAAGTAAGGATATCATATGGATCTTCAACAAGTAAGTATTTTATCTATATAAAAGATTTCTGCAAGAAATATTTACACTTTTTTAATGTTTTTAACTTAAAACTGATAATAGTGCACTTGAGACATATTTTTTTACTTATCTTTGGGGAACGCAAGCCAAAATCATCGATGGAATGGATTTACCCAAATGTAAGAATGAATCCTTAACTTTTATATCTAATTATCCCTCATATGTTTTTGGTTTGATTTTAAATTTCTATTTATTTCAATGCTATCAGCAGCCAGGAAGCACAAAATGCAAATATTATGTTATTCGTTACATGTATGAGATAATTCAAGTTGGAAGTGCTGAAAGATTACAAGAGGTATATTTTAGTTGTAATTTTAGTTTAAATTCTTGTATTCAATTCCTTAAAGTAATTTGTGACAACGGTTTTATTATTTAGATTTTTAATAATACAGAGCCCTATAATGAAGAAGAAATTAATGGTATTCGAGATATTTTGGCTCAATAACTTCTCTAAGAATACTTTTCACATTGTTGAGGGTGAACAAAATTTTTTAGTCTTTTAGTGGTAGAAAAAATATGTATTATAGTTGTAAAAAGTATATTAAGTGTAGTTGTAACATATATAATCATTGTAATTCTGCTGGCTGGTTGTTTATACTTGTCACACAATCTATATAATTTGTAAGTTTTAAGTTTTTGAATGTCAAAAAATTTAAAAATATATTTAAAAAAATTAAACTTTTCACAACGGTTATTTAAAAAACCGTTGTGAAAAAGTTTTTTACAACGGTTCTCTCAAAAACTGTTGTGAAAAGAGAGAGAACCGTCTTTTCACAATAGTTTTTTAGATAACTATTGTGAAAAGTTTATTTTTTTTAAAATTTTTTTTTGTTGGTTAATGACATTTAACATTGGCTATGTGTTCCAACCGACGTGAAAAGTAACTTTTTCACTTCCTATTTTTTTTTTTTTTACTTCTATATCATAACCAATATAAAAAGTTAAAAATAATCATTATTAAAAGTCCTTCCTATAGTACTGTAAGCTCCATTTCTTTTTATTTTTTCATTTTAATATTTTTTATGTTTTTTGGGAAACGGTACAATGCTGCTTAGTCCTTTATTTACTTATTTGTTTATTTTCTTGTTTTTTAAATCTCCTTACCTTTGTCATTATTTTGCTTTGTTTTCCGTCACCAATTTGTTTGCATTAGGCTGTATATTCTATTGGGCCAAGCCCATTTAAATTGGGTACATTCTTATTCCTATGTGAAAATTTCGCTTAAAATAGTTAAAAAGAATAATTAAGTCAACATAAGATAATTATTTAAAAAATAAATAAATTCACAAGGCCAAGAAAATGGAGAGTTCAAGATAAATAGTAGTACTCTCTCTAATCTTAAATATAAAAAATGATGAGATTTTTTTAATCCTAAATATAAATTATTGAAAAAGGAACATTTAAGAGAAACAGATGCACAGTTTTTTTATTTACAAATAATTAAATTAACTAACTTTTTAATCTATATGAATTTGTTATTAACCCACCATACACTTAAAACCAGAGGGATTAAAATGTTATGTATTTTTCCAAAGCATTTTGGTGCTGGTCTAGCTTGCTTGAAGGTAGGGAATTCCTAAATTCTAATCAGTGTTGGCAAATAGAAAATGGTGAGTCTGTCCGTATCTGGAAAGACAAATGGATACTGCCTTCTCTATTGGGCTATGGTTTGGTAAAATTGATGATGAAGAATTGGCAAAGTCTAACACCATTGTGACCACATTAATCACAAACAGGCAGTGGAATTTCTCAGAGGTGATGCACTTGTTATGGATGAGGCCACTGCTTTAAATTTGGCTATTCAACGAATTCCAATTGCAGCTAATGCAACTCGTGATAGAGTTTTCTGAACTGTGAACTGTAATGATACATTTATTATGCTTGGGCTATGAAATAAGGTTATTAAAAAATGAGAAGCAATCAAAAGTTGGTTCCTCCTTTTCTATCTCTCACATGCTTCTTGGAGGAACATGTGGAAAACTAAAACATGTGGAACCTTCTTTTTCTGGTCTTCGGGCTAAGGATACATTACAATATTTTTTGTTTTAGGCAACAATTTTATTTGCAACAGTTCTAAAAGTGTTGCCTAATGTGCCCATTGGCAATAGTTTTTATATATTGCAATTATTTTCCTACTTTAAGCAATATAGTTTTGACAATGTTAAATTATTCCCTAAAATAAAATAGACAACAGTTTTTAAGTGTTATAATAAATTTTTTGAATAGACAATATAAAAATTATTGTCTATAAAGGATCTTTTATGGCAACATTTTAAAAATGTTTCCTATTTTAATAGGCAACAAAAATATAAATATTGCCTATAGTTCTTTTTGGCAATAATTAAGAACTATTGCTTGTTGTCTTTCTAAAAATTTATTTTTATAATTTTTCTACATAATTTTATTTATTTATTCTCTTAATTTTTCAATTCATTACTTGGGTAGATTAAAAAAAATTAATTTAACAATTATATATATATATATATATATATTATATTTTGCATTATAATATTAAAAAGTCAAGTTAGAACAATGGATGGAGTCACATGTTCCTTTCAATAGATTCAGGGTTCGAATCTAGATAGGGGAAGAAAATATCAAATTTTGATTATTTAACTACTTAACAACATTTGAAAAGTGTTGCTATAGGTTTCTAAAAAACTGTTGGCTATTCTCATAGTTTTAGATAATAATTTTACAAAACATGTAGTTAAAGATATAAAAATTATTACCTATGCTTTAACAACATTTTTCAAGTCTATAACAATAATTTTAAGCTGTTCATAAATAACAAAAATGTTGTATTGCTTTGTTTTGTCTTCAAGGAATAATCAACGATTGGTGGCTGATTTGGGTCTTTTTTTTGTCTTTTGTTTCGCAATTGACCGAAAAAGGAAAACATTTAAATTAAAGGGATTAAAATGTTATTCCCTCCATTTAAAAATATGAGGTATTTTTAATCTAATCTCATCCTTAATAAAGTAGTTATCTACTTTCAAAATAACCTTATCTTTTCATATTTATCCCTGGTAAACATCCTACGATAAATATAAAATTATTCATCAATAGGGTACTTTTAAAAAAAAAAGCAATGATTGCACCTCAAAAGGCTAAATGCTTTATATTTTTAAACACCCAACTCCTTAAAAAATGCCTTACATTTTTTAATAAAAAGAATACGTTTTTTTTCTTTTTTCTTTTTTCTTTTATATGATATAGACATTACAGCTTTCCATAATCATATATAAAATTATTTTTAAAAAAAATAAACATAAATTATGTTGCCCAATTTATTTCTCATCATATTAAATCTCTATTTCATTAAGTCTTTTTTACATACATCTTTAAAATATTATTTTATTCAACTTATGTATTCAATTTTTTTAAAAAGTTTAAAATAAAGAGTTTGCATAACTAAACATTTTTAAATATGAATAAAATTAAAAACAAAAAAATATATTTATTAAAATTTTTTTTGAATAACTTGAATGATTTCTAGATAAAATATATGTTTAAAGAGAGAAGGTATTTTGATTCAAAGCTAGCTGCCCATTTATACCAATAAAAAATAGCAACAATGTTGAAAAGAACATAGTTTCTTTACGGCTATTTTACAGCGGCTGAACCGTACATATTATTTTATTTCTATTACTAATCATTATTGGAAAAAAATTGATAGTTAATTAAGAAAATCTACATCCTTCACAATTTTTCACAACAAATTGTAACAAATTACAAAAACAAAAAGAAAGAAAATTTAGCCGACCAAATTTAATTGTTGTTCTTGTTTTTTTTTTTTTTTTTTCAAGTTCATCTCAAGATTTTTTTTTTCTTTTAAACTGAGTTTGAATCGTACGCGTGCGTGCTTTACTATGCACTTTCTTAAAAGCAGTTTCCACCCAAGTTCTTCGTCGACCTTGAAAAGCCAACCTATCGTTAACTGATCCGAGTTAGATGTATTATGCAAGCTTACTCGGCAGAAGATCTATTTCCTTCTACATCGATCTCGCCTTAATTCCTTTCTTTCTGAGAAAACCCATGAGCCTTTATTCAATGGATGCTGCTGCTGAAGCTGCTAGTTGCTCATCTTCCTTGAACTCGACAATCCCACCATGGAAGTATCATGTTTTCTTGAGCTTCAGAGGAGAAGACACCCGAAAAGGCTTCACAGCGCATTTAGACGCTGCTCTGCAACAAAGGGGTATCATAACCTTCATAGATGATGAGCTTGAGAGAGGAGACGTTATTTCCCTTCAGCTACTTCAAGCAATCGAAGGTTCTCCCTTCTCTCTTGTTATTCTTTCCCAAAATTATGCTTCTTCAAGTTGGTGTTTGGATGAACTCCAAAAGATTCTTGAGTCAAGAAAATCTTTCAATAGAGAAGTTATCCCAGTGTTCTATAATATTGATCCGTCTGATGTACGACATCAAAGAGGAGCCTTTGCTTGATGCCTTTCAAAAACATAGTGAAAGATTTCATGAAGATAAAGAGAAGGTGCAGAGATGGAGAGATGCTTTGAAAGAAGTTGCAAATATATCTGGTTATCACTCTAAAGATCGGTATGTTAGATTTATTTCAGTTTATGAATTTTGAGATCTAATGAGTTTGTGACTTTATTTTACTTTTCTGTCAAAATATTTTTTTTTTTTAAAAAAAGAATGCATACCGAGCATAAAGTTAATTCAATTCTGTTGGGAAAAATAAATTTCGGTAAAGATTTTTGAAGCATATATATCAACTTCATAAAGTTAGGAAAGTTGTGCTTAATTTGATATAAGCATTACTGTATAATCTGATCGCTGTAAGTTTTGCTTCTTTCTTTCACTCTCTGTGATTAAAATATTGAGTAACTATCCTTATCAAACAACCAAATATTTAATATATGATATTACAAAAAATGAATAATGTATCAACTATATGCTTAATATACTTCAAGCACGAGAAGTTAAAATTATTTTGAAGGATGTAAGCACCTTAAACGAGAAACATTGTATATGCATGCATGTGAGTCTGTTTTTTCATTTATTTAATGTTGTTTCTAGTTTTGAAATCTTATTTTTACAAAATTAGATTATGGGTAACATTTTGCATAGAGTTTTAGAAAAGTGGCACTGTGAATGATGATTTGAAAACAGTAGTTTCATGTAATTTGTCTATTATCTATAGATATTGCATAGATTTTAGAATATCAATTATCAGATTTTTACCAATCTTCTCTTTTATGTAGGCTAGAAACAAAATTCATTGAAGAAATTATAGCAGGTGTATGGACAAAACTACAGCCAAGCTTACCATGTTTCAAAAATGAATTTGTTGGATTGGAGTCAAAGATAGAAGAAGTGAATTCAATTTTGAGGATAGGATTGAATGATGTTCATTTAGTAGGAATTTGGGGAATGGGCAGTATAGGAAAAACATGTCTTGCAAGAGTTATCTATGAGAGATATTGTGACCAGTTTGATCTTTGTTACTTTTTTGCGAATGTTAGGGAAGTCTCTAAAAAGGAGGGACTGGTTTTCCTGCAGAAAAGTTTTCTTTCACGTTATGTGAAGTTGACAGGGATGGAATTTCATGATGCGTATGAAGGAATGAAGATAATGAGAAGCCTTATGTGCATCAAAAAAGTCTTAATAGTATTGGATGATAAGTGAAATGAACCAGCTTGAGTACTTTGCAATAAAGCAAGCTTGGATGGACCAAGGAAGTAGAATAATAGTGACAACTAGATATAAGCAGCTATTGACAGCACATGGAGAGTTTGAAATATATGAAGCAGAGCTATTGAATGATGAAGAATCTCTTCAATTCTTTTGTCAAAAAGCTTTTAAAAGTGATCAACCAACAATATATTATTTGAAGTTGTCTAAAATTATTGTCAAACTTGCTAGTGGCCTTCCTTTGACACTAGAAGTGTTGGGGTGTCTTCTTTGTGAAAGAAAGATAGTTGTGTGGAAGGATGCTGTAGAGAAGATAAAGAAATTTCCACTAAATGACATTCTAAATAGACTTCCAATAAGTTATGAAGCATTAAGTCCTCTGGAGAAAAAAAAAATATTTTTGGATGTTGCAAGCTTCTTCATAGGAATGCACAAAGATAAAGTGATGGAAATATTAGAAATGTGTAGTTTTCACCCAATAATTGGAATTACAGAACTTGTAGACAAATGCATGATAATTGAATTTTGCGACAATCATGGTACTTTGTGTTTGGGAATGCATGGTATTTTATAAGAAATGGGTAAATGTATTGTATTTGAAGAATCACCAGGTGATGTTGGCAGACGTAGTAGGTTATGGTCAAAAGAGGACATAAATATTGTATTGACAAAAAATAAAGTAAGTTTCTTTTAGTCTAGATGAGATATTATTTAATTTTTAGATTTTCCAAATTTTCTATTGATTGTTTACCTTTTTTTCTGATCATTAATTAAATAGTTAGTTGCTTATTGTTATTAGGGCACTGATTCAATTGAAGTTATGCATCTTCACTTCCCTATACAATACAAAGCAAGTTGGGCTTCAAGAGCATTCTCAAAGATGTTTAATCTGAGAATACTAATCATATCATGTGATGTGTGCCTTCCTCTTGACTTCATATCTCTTCCTAGTTCATTAAAGATTATTAAATGGGAGAAATATCCATTGAAGTCGCTTCCACTTGGATCTCAATTGAATGAACTTGCTTAGCTTGAAATGCACTGGAGTAAGATCATACAACCTTGATGTGCAGCACAGGTAAGAGTGCTTTAACAATATATTGAAGCTTTATTAATCAAAATTATCATTTTAAGTTTTGCAAAATCTAATATTCTATTTTTTTTTTGTTTTTACTAGATGCCTAAAAAGCTGTAGTTCATTGATCTAAGCTATTCTAAAGATCTTATTCAAAGTCTTGATTTTTCAGCTCTACAAAATCTTGAGAGACTACTACTTGAAGGTTGTATAAAACTCGTGAAGGTTCATACATCACTTGGGCAACATAAGAAAATTGTCATAGTGAATTTGACAGCTTGCATAAATCTTAAATCTCTTCCTAGTAGACTGGATATGGATTCCTTAGAGAAACTGATTCTTTCAGGCTGCTCAAAATTGAAAAAGCTTCCCGAGTTTGGAGAAAACATAAAATATTTATCAAAGATTGATTTGAAGGATTGCAAAACTCTTGGATGGCTTCCATGTTCTATTGGTAACCTAAAATCTCTTGTGACTCTCAACATATTTGGTTGCTCAAAATTATTATCACTGCCAGACAATTTGGAGGAAAATGAGAGTATAGAGGTGCTTGATATAAGTGGAACTGGTATAAGAAAAATACCTTCATCTATCAACAGTCTAAGAGATTTAAGAAAATTATATGCAAATGGATGTTTGTGGTCTACATTAGGCTCATCATCAAATTTACTTTCCCGAGCTCTAAAGGCATTTAGGTTCACTAGTTATGAAGCTCCCATAAGTTTCACATTGCCTCCTTCTATCTCAAGTTTATCCTCATTGAAGGAATTGAAGTTAACAAACTTCACTCTTAACTTAAGATTGATTCCAAACGATCTTGGCTGCTTACCATCTTTGGAGGTTCCTGATCTCAGTGGAAATGATTTTAGCAACCTACCTTCAGGAAGTTGCATTCTTCCTTCTTCTTTCTCAAGTTTGTCTTCATTGAGGGAATTGAATTTGAATAACTGTAATCTTTGTGATGGTTCAATTCCTAATGATCTTAGTCCCTTGTCATCCTTGAAACTATTACGTCCATCAGGAAACAATTTTACTAACCTACCATCTGCTTTTGTCTCTAATCTCTTGGCTCTAGAAATTCTTTGCTTGAATCATTTCAATAAGCTTTTATCTCTACTAGATGTCCCACCACATATGGAATTTATAAATGCCATTTGTTGTCATCCCTCAATGAAAATCCCATCCATTCCGGAGGTGGTATGGAGATTCTTTTCGTCACCTAACTTTCAACCAAACTGGCTAGCCAAAAAGAGACCATTTTCCTTGTATGTTCCAAGGAGTGAAATCCCATCATGGTTCCATAATCAAAATCTTGATCTTCTTGACAGTGAGAAAACGTGCATAAAAGTAGACATCTCTCATTTTCATGATTCAAGTGAAATGTGGGGAATTGATACAAGACATGGCACCAATCAATTCTGGAAAACCAGATAGTTCCATTACTGTTTCTCATTCTTCAAAATATGAGTTAGATGATCCTGATGGAATTCAACACTCATTTTGGCTTGATCTGAAAGACAACAACCCTCATATGTTTATTTTGATTTTGCCTCCCTATTACTTGAGAAATGCTTGCAACCAAGTTCATTTATGGTTTGAAGCTACAAATTTGAGTCAACATTTACTTTTAATAAGGAAGTGTGGGTGGTGATTGACATGCAAAGAACAAGTTGAAGAGTGCATGCAACTCCAAATACCATGAAGATGGTTGAGAGAAGATGCCATTGACACAGAATCATGAACTCAAAACTACTTCTCATCGGTAATTCAATCTTCCTTTTATTCTCTCTTCATGTTAAAATTTTTCTCCATGTGTCCAGATAAAAACAAATAAACAAACAAAATTACACGACATGTAAATGAATATATGTATATATAATATTTGAAAATAAAGAGGAAACCATTTAAATTATTAGTGCTAAAACAAAAAATTGCAATGGTCATATGCAACTTATGTTTGAAAACGGTAAAATGTTAAGAAAATGGTGATATTAACATGATTTTGATGTTAAAAATCTTCTTAATTGATGACACATTAAGACCATAGTAATCTTTTGACATGAATCAAGCTAATCTAACATGATTATATGCACGTATGGAATAATGTAATATTAATTTAAATTTAAATATGAAGTATTGTGGATTATAGAGAAGCCCCTCCCATTATTGACCTAATTTTTTTCTCTGTGTCTATTTATATCTATATCAGGAGGGAAGAAAGAAAATAGGGAGAATGACAATTAAGGACCTGCTAAGAACATTAATCCCAATTACGGACCGTGAAATTTTGAAATCCTTAACTGTGATTAAAAAAATGTAATTTGTGAATTGAGAAAATTTGTAACGTATATTGTGAAACATGAAACCCCACTTGGAAATTGAATGTTTAACAAAAAGCGTCACTTGAGAATTCACTAACTCGACTTGAAAAAATTTCTAACATATATTGTGAAAACATGAAACTTCACTTGGGAATCGATTGTTTAATAAAAAACACCAATTTGGATAAGTCACTTTTTATTAATGATTCTCAAGTGGAGTTTTATTTTTTCACAATATACGTTAGAAATTTTTTCAAGTCTAGTTAGTAAATTCTCAAGTGGCGTTTTTTGTTAAACATTCCATTTTCAAGTGGGGTTTCATGTTTTCACAATATAATAGTAATTTTCTCAAGTTGGGTTAGTGAATTCCCAAATCGTGTTAGTGAATCCCACCTCACAAATTACATTTTTTTTATTACAATTAAGGACCATGGTCCTTAACTCTGATTTTAAAATTTCACGGTCCGTAATTGAGATTAATGTTCATAGCAGGTCCTTAATTGTCATGCTCCCAAGAAAATAAGTTTCCTAGAGTCGTATAAAATGACATAACTCATCTGTTGCTGTTGTATCAATCAGACTCACTTTTATTCTTCTTCCTTTTCCGATTGATTCCTGGTGTGGTATTCAGTTAGTGGAATCAGTGAAGGTTCTTCTCTGTTTTTCCTCATTGTTGCCGTGTCAGGTATGGGCTTTTGGGGTCATCAGCAGCTTTCTTCTTCATTTCTTCTTTTTCTTATAACTAAAGCAACCTAACACTCTCTTCCTGCATTGCTACAATCGATTGATCCCTCTAAGTTTCTTTACCATCTTTGCATCACAAACAGGGGAGGAGATTGAATTGGCTGCTGGTCGAAAAATTGAAGCTTTTAGGATTCTTTTTATAGGTATTTTCACTATCAACTTTCTGGTTGGCTTTCCCATGAATAACCTAAGTTAATGCGTCTCGTCTATCTTCTTTTTCTCATCAATGACTTGGGAATTGGTAATTTCTATTCGGCTGTTTGTAAATGTGTTGTTTTGAAGATTTGATGGACCTTGATTCATGATTGTATGTATTTGGGAGAAATGTTTTGAATGTTAATAAGCTTGTTCGGTCACAATTACACAAAGTGCACATTAGATGTTTGACAAAATGCTTGAATGGAAAGAGAGTTTTAATTAAAGTTGTGAATGGTGATCTATTCAATTGGGTTGCAAGAATACTGTGCTTAAATTAAATAGTTAGGACTTCTTCAAGTGTATCGTACTTAATTTTGATGGTTGGTGCTACAAGTTTTTTTATGAAGTAATGAGTCATCAGTTCGTTTTCATAGCTAAACTATATGCTTTGGAATGACGAATTTTGAAGTACTTTAGTTAGTACTTACACAATTAGAAGATCATGGTTTTCTATAGGGGTAAAAATCATACAGGAAAGACCAGTAAACAAGGCCAATTGCATCCTCATATTACATCCACGATAGTTGCCTCGCTCGGTTAAGGTCCCACAAACAAAAATACTTCTAAAAAAGAAAATGTTTAGATTGTTTATCTTAAAATAAAAATGCTAACTTAATTGGTTATGTGCATGTTTTTTATTGATGTTATTTTCTCATGTATTTGTGAGTATTTTAAACTTAGACATGTATATCTGTATATGGGTTCCAGCATTTCTTCTATTATTGGTTTTACTAAAGTAAGATCCTTGAACTTAACATGAATAAAAACATCTCCATCCTATCTTACTTAGAAACCAATGTTAATTTAATTCTTTTTTTTTCTTTTAGTATTTCTGTTTGTTTCATTTAAAGTGGGATGTTATTTATTTATTAATTTTTTTTAAATATTCAGATAGTAGAACTTTTCATGACCCATCATCAACACCTTATGGTAGATTTCCTTACTGTTTTGGAGCCGCAGTAGCGGAGTGAGCCAAGTTTTGATTTAACTATAGATGTCTTGTCCACATTGCCCATGGGTAGTATTCTCACCCTTTTGAATGTATGTTGACTTGTGTATGGATTGAGAGCAGAGCTCTCTTTTGATGTATTACTGGTTACCTGACTGCTGTAAAAATCATCAGGAATTTCAATTTTCAGAGTAGACTTTGTCATAACTTTTATGAAGTAATATTATTACATAATATGTTGTTATTGACCTAAAGCAATCACCACCAGTTAGGGCCTGTTTAGTTCAAGGGGAGAGGAGGCGAGGGGAGAGGAGGCGAGGGAAGGGGAGGGGGAGGAGGGGGAAGGGAGGGGAGGGGAGCTCCCCCCCTATTTGGAGGGGAGGGGAGGGGAGGGGCTCCCCTCCTCCTAACCAAAGGAGGGAGGGGAGGGGAGCCCCTCCCCTCCCCCCCCCCATCCAAACACTCCCTTAGTTGTAATTGGAATTTGAAATGATTTGTTAAGCAGGGTTTAGGGAGTGAGGCTATTGTTGCCCTCTGTGTCAAATGCACCCTTCTTTTAGTGGTGTGACAATTGGATCATCCCAGAATCTGCTGCTGATAGATCTTGGGATCCATGGCACTCAATTTACATGAATAATGTTTTGTACATTGTTGCCTCTTGATTTCAATGAAGAAAAATAGACAGCATTTTTTGCAATGTATTGCAGTGAAAAAGAATGGTATATGTGTAGTAAATGTTTTTTTCACAGACAAGCAAATGAAGGTAGCATCATATATATATATATATATAGTTGAATTACTAGTCATTTGCTTCTTTTTTCTTTTCACCCCAGAATTTCATACTGATGGAGCCCAGACCCAAATGGCACTGAATATGTGGCTCAACAAGACAGAAACAGCAACAAAAGTCAGATCAGGCACAGTGGAAATAAGCTAAGAAACAAAGCTAAGCTCACACTCTAACAAGGCCTATGAATAGATTACACTTTCGAAGCATAAAGGAAAATGATGAAGAAAGATGAACATCCTTCAACCCCAACCTGGTGTTCAAGAGACCAGGGAACCTGATGTGGTTGATTATAAGTTGGGGTGCGATGAACTGTTGAAGGACTATAAGGTGCTGCTTGAATTAGATTTGTCATTTTCAAATGATGTTGTTAGGACCTTTTATTTCAATTTAAAATGGAATAAATATAGGCAGAGCAATTCTGTTAGAAGCACCAATGTTCACCTAACACTCGCTCGATCTTTAGCTGAGATACTTGGAATTCATTATGAGAGTATCCAATTGCAATAGCATAAAAATTTCAAGTGTGTCGATCCATGTCCAGTCCAGTTCTGGCAACCATGATTGATATTAAGAAATAGAATGGAATGGATTGAAAAAATAAAGGTAAAAATAATATGATCAAAGGAGATAGGTGATCACATTCATAAAGGGGAGGGATAATTTAGTTTATGGGGTTGAGAATCATGATTCATGAAATTTTCAAAAGGTGTAATAATTCTCCATTTGTAATATACTCTCCATTTAAAAATATAAAGCATTCTTAACTGAATTTCACTCAATAAAGTAGTTAACTACTTTTCAACTAATCCTGTCTTTTCATATTTACTCTTATTAAACACTTTACAATAAATATAAAGTCATTACTAATATGGGTATTTTTGAAAAAAAAGGCAATGATTATATCTCGAAAGACTAAAAATACCTTATATTTTTGAACATTCAACTCCTCAAAAAATGCCTTACATTTTTGAACGGAGGGAGTATATTAATGAATTTTATCATGTTTACCATAGAAGGAAGGGTAATTCACTACATTTTTGTCTTGATTTTTTTAACCCATTCCATTCTATTCTTTTCTAATAACCAAACTTGATTTAAGTTTATTCACAACTAAAAAATGGTAGCATGGTATTACTCTTTTTTCTTTTAATATTAATGAACACATCCGATTGTCAAAATTTTTAAAATTTCTATTTATCTTTTTTCCCAACATTTAAGACTAAGAAATATATACGCTGTAATTAATTTCCAACATAATTCCCTCCCAGAATGAATAGAAGTATGAAACACACTCATCGTAGTACTCCATTCACACACTCACATTACACACAAATATAATATACATATCTCCTGCATGTGATATATCACACACTAAGAAATGTATTGTTTTGATACATTATAAAATATAAAATTAATTAATTCATGAAAAGACCTTTTTATTAATTAACACTAACTCTTTATCAATAATAAAAGAATGATCCATAATACTCATATCTACATATTAAGTGGTATATAATATTATATAATTTATTATAAGAAATTCAGTAATTAAGTTTATACATTAAGGTATTTTTTGAATGAAATAAAAATAATTGAATTTTAAATTTAAAGATAAATTAAAATTATTAGTAACAAGAGTTATAGGGAAAGTGATGTGTTAAAATATATTTATATATACATATATTTTATGAAGAAAATTCATTATGTAAATATTTAAATATTTTCTTTATTGATATATGTTTTATAAAAAAATAAATTAATAATAATACATCTTAGGGAGAATAACATATAGCTCCCAAAGGAACCAATTAATTTAAATTAGGTCCCAATCAATTTTAAAGTGCCAAACTCCAAGGATTTTCAAATTCGGCTATCAATTTTGTAATTTCGTTGTGAAAAATTTATAACTTATTTTCTAAACTTTAACACGATTGAAGAATAAAAAAATTATTTTTTTATTAAAATTTAAAATATAAGTTACAAATTTATTACAATAAAATTACAAACTTGAGAGTTGAAATTGCAAATACTTGTAATTTGATACTTTAAAATTGGTTGGAATTTAATTTGAATTAATTGATTCTCAAAAGACCTATTTATCATTCTCCCTACACCTTAATTTAAAAAACAAAAAAAAAAAACAAAAACAAAAAAACTGGCCCCCTAAAGTCAGTAGGCTGGTTCTGCCCCTAGCTAGAAAGCTAATCTAAGCTTTTTATTTTGATCTAAAAATGATCTCTACCTTTTATTTTAAATTAATTTTTAAATATTTTTAATATTATATTTATTAAAATAAAAATTATAAAAAAATTATATTAAATATAAATTATTCAAATTACATTCAGATAGTTAATTTGTAAAAATTATAAAAAAATTTAATCTTAAAATAGACTATACAAATTATATGCGCATCATCCAGTGTATACTAAGGTAATCAATTTGCAAAAAATATAAAAAAATTTAATAACATTGATTAAGATTCCAGTACTATTAGGTTTAATTGAAAATAACTCTTCAAAAACATCATCTACATTCATTCATATTGAAATTCGAAATCTTAGATTTAAATAGCCATAACCATTTCCACCAAAACCAATGATGCACAGCGGCATGGCTAGCAAACGAAGATTCTCTGGATTTTGATTGTACTGGTGAACTTTTGTTATCACTAAAGACCTTTAACAGCAAACTTTTGGCAGCGCTGCCAAAACCCTTTTTTTTTTTTTTTTCCGGGTAATGGAACCTTTGGCTGTTTAATGGGATTTCAATTACTCAAGATTATTAACCATTAGAATTTTATGTCATTTTAACATATTTTTGTTGGAATTTTCCGTCTCATGCAACGCAAGTATATAAATTATTCTTTTCTGATGCCAGGAAATTGAAGAAGGAAATGATGATTTGTCAAAGATTTTTTTATTACTTTTTTGTCCAGAGTTTCCACAAAAATTGCAGTTATGGAGAGGAAAAAAACGCAGAATATATTTGTCTCCCTCATTGCTCTCCTGATTGCGTGTAAGGAATGGGACATGATCATTACCACTTGTGTCTTAAATAGTATTCCCGTGCACTACGGGATCTAGTAATCTAGTTTTTTATATAATATATAAAGACACGCCACTGTAATCTGACAATGTTCCCACTTCTTTTGACATTTTCGACTTTGTCCTTTGCGTGTTCACGCTTACTATAAAAATTAACTTTAACTATTAAATAATTAAAAATAATTTTAAAAATTATAAAAAATATCAAAAAATTACAAACATTATTCAAAATTACAAGCAAGGATTCAAAAAATTATAAAAAAATAAATTTTTTTAACCCTTTTCTATAATTTTTTAAATATATTTTTTATTATTTTTTAATTAATTAATAGTTAAAGTTAACTTTTATTAATTATATGAGTTTGATTACATTATTTTTAAAAATTAAGATAATAATTTGTATAATAAATAAGTTTAAGATTTATGATACTATTACACTTAAAGTTCAGGAAGTAATTTGCTCATTTACCTTAATAATTATTCAAAAATTAATTTTAATAATAGCCTGAGCAATCTGAAATTAAATTTTGGTGCATGAAAGAAAAATAAGTACCCGTTAGTAGATGTGTTAAAATCAAAAGTGTTTCGTTAACTAAGGATCTAATATGTTGGTAACCAAAAAAAAAAAAAAAAAACTACGGATCTAATATAGTGCTTTTATCTTTTTTGGTGCTTATAACTTTTTAATTAAGGTCGGGCTTGTTGGGTTGCTCCTTTTAAGTCCAAAAATATTTAAGGCTTTGCCACTATTTTGAGATATAAAATGATAATTCAAGCTTAAAAGAGTTGGCCTTTTTAAATTCAAGAATAAAAAGGCCATCCCTCATATATATATATATATATATATATATTAAATTTTAATATGCAAAAAAAAAAAAAACACTACATACAATATAATCATACCCTAAAGGAAAACCTTAGCCTCATTTGGTCATTCTCATTCCTTCTCCCTCATCCGTCAATCAACCAACTGACCAAGCACACATCCGACCACCATCCTTTCTTTTGTCCCTCATCCATCAAGACTTAATTGATGATGTTAGCAAATTTTAATTGTTATCGAGATTGATTTTATGATGTTACTATTTTTTGTTATAGTTAAATTTTTTGTTGAGTGAAATTTATTTTTCTAGACTTAATGTTAAGTGTACTAATTTTTTTTGGAATTTATAATATGTTTTTTAAATTTTTAAATTGAAAAAAAATAGGGCTGTAGCCCTTAGGGTTGGACCATGCAAAATGAAAACTTGGTGTATAATCAAACTTAAAAGGACCAACCCATTTAAGTCATGGGCCGACCTTAATTGACAGCTGTTATTTCTTTGATATTATATAAAGAAGTAAGTCACACTATACATCCACTATCAAATCTCTTTTTATAAAATATCTAAATTATTTAAAAATTATTTATTTTTTAATGTTGAACAAACTGATCCTAAATATAAAAATTGTAATGGAGAGAAGCAGGAACGAAACAAGCAATCTCAACTACAACTCTTTGTCGACCCAAGTCAACTTATTATTTTATTAGTGCATTTCTCTAAAGACAACTTCCCTATAATTTACAGTTCAAATCAAAATATAATTTTTCCTTTTTTAAGCTAGTTATTCACCTCCTTTATTTTCCCAATTAAGGTGATAACAAGATCAAAATGAAAAGAAATGGAAGCCTCTTATTAATCTGTCAGTACTCTTTCTCAAAAGCCAGTTTCCACCCACCTGCCAAGGCCTATTACTCATAGGTCTTCCACCGACTTTCATTGACCCAGGTTACATATAGATGCAAGCTTTAATCATAGGGAAAATGACAAGCAAGTTCCAAAACATCAATTTTATACCAGTTAAGTCTCAACTAATTCTAAAAGGTCAATGAAGTCCTAGGGTTCTTAAGTGGTATTTTGATGTCACAGGAAAAGACCGAAAACACCCTTCTTCAAGTGAAATGCTCAGTTTCTTCTCTGCCCGAAGGAGTTTACTGTGTGCGATGCGAGGAGCTCTCTTTTCTGGGTTAGGCTTCTTGAATCGAATGAGTTCCTTGTGTGCGATGTAACGAGATCTCTTCTTTGGGTTAGGCTTCTTGAACCGAACGAGTTCCCTGTATGCGACGCGACCAGATCTCTTCTCTGGGTCAGCCTTCTTGAAGTAAGTTTGAAAAGCTCAGTTTCTTCTCTGCCTTATTGACAATCTCTGCCTTGCTGCCTGGCTGAAGTTTGTGAGTCTTTTGATCTCTGTTTCACATTGCTCACATCACATTCTTAGCATTTGAACTTGTAATGCCTTTCAATGAATTAGCAGTTTTAGTTGATGAAAATCCTATATGAACAAATTAATAGGGGAGGAATATAGCAAAGGGATTCAAGGTATGCTGCAAGGGATGTAGGCA